CCTCCCGACAGGCTGAAACCTTAAACGCCTCCCGACAGGCTCAGAAGAGAACGCCTTCCGATAGGATAAGAGAAGACACGCTTCTAGGCAGGCTTAGAGCTTAAATGCCTTCCGATTAGCTCAAAATAAGAAACGCCTCCACACAAGTTGGAAGACAGAATCCGGACCAGTCTAAAAAATCCACATCTCCCGCCCCCGGGAATGTCTTGAATTACAGCTCCCAAGTCATGGGGGCTACCCGCCTAGCACATAGTTAACAACAATAGGCTAGTGGGGCAAATATCAAACGATTTGAGAGCTCTAACTCAAGTCATCGAAATCAAAGCAAGGGGCAAGGATAATGTCACGCAACTCGTACAAGGTGGCAAAACACATCAACCATGCTCAGAAGCACAGCGTTTCTCGACAGGCTCAAAGGGAAATTGCATCATCCAGTCTCATAAGTAAGGCAAATTAATACGGTTTAAGATATTATTTTACTACTTCCATTCTTACAGAATACAAGAAGTAAATCGGCAATTGTTCGGTGTGGTATTTTTTTTTGATCAAATCTGTGAGAAGCTTTATTAATCAGAAGTTGCGGTTACATTGTCCAGCATAATCTGATCAACTAGACAAATCGGTGGCCTATCATACCAAACTTCTTTCTCATTCTCTCTAGTCTCTATGTGAGCAGCCTTGTTACACTCTCTAGGGACATACCGCCCTGATCCTCCTCCCATCTCGCGAAGTAGTCTTAGTATATTTCGACATATAATGCCTATTTCAGTGTGGATGGTGTCCGCCTCCTCCAGTTTACGGATAAGCGAAAGACAATCTGTCTCCAGAATCATGTTCGTCATGTGAGACTCCTGGGCTAACTGCAAACCGAACTCCGCCGCTAAAGCTTCCGCCATCTCGGGATCGTAACTCCCCGGAATTTTCTTTGCTGCCGCCAGCATACAATGCCCCTCGGCATTCCGAATCACAACGCCCAGTCCACTGCCTCCTGATGGGAGTACTCCCGCATCCGTATTCACCTTCAGTAATCCTTGCTGGGGTTTTTGCCATTTCCTGAAATAGGTGCCTTCCTCCCTGTCCTCTTCGCGGTTTTGGTGCTCCCTATAATTATCGATCCATAGTTTTGCTCGGGGAACAATCTCATGCTCATTCAATTTGAAACCATTGAAGAGGTGGGCATTGCGTTCCTTCCATAGGAACCATAGGAGTACCGCCCAGTCTTCCAATTCCCGCTCGGTCTTTGTTTCCATGACCGCCTTCAGCCACTCATAGCAACTTTCAGAATTGCGGCATAGAAAGCAGTCCGCCAGTTCCGAGCTGCACCATAATCTGGATGACCATTCACACTCTCCAAACCTGTGTACTTGGGTCTCCCTTACATTGCAAAAGGGGCATTCATCACTCCATCTTTTACTCTTCACAGATATATGGTTCCCAGTAGGCAATATATCTCGGGCAAATCGCCAGAGGAAATGCTTAACTTTTGGCGGAATCTTCAGCCCCCATATGCGCTTCCAGACTCGATTTTCGCCGACCATGGTGATGTTCTCCGTGGCCTTAAACTCCTCCAGCCAAAGCCTGTAAGCTTCCTTTACACTGTACTCCCCCGACGAGCTCCCTTTCCACACCAGCCTGTCTTGTTCCATCGGGTCTCGAAGTGGGATGGTGCGAATGACCTTCTCTGTTTCCGAGGAGAAGCAGGCTTCAAGGAGCGCGTCATCCCATTGTTCCGCGTCCGGGGAAATCAATTCCCTCACCACAGCGTCAACTGGGAGGCCTATCGGGGCTGTCTCCACAAAAGCCGAGGTTGAATTCGGGAGCCATTGATCGACCCAGATTCTAATCATAGCACCATTTCCCACTCGCCATCTTAATCCACTATTCAAGAAATTCTGGGCACTCATGAGACTACGCCAGATAAAACTTGGACGATACCCCAGGGATGCCTCCAACACCGAGCTGTTCTTATAGTATTTTGCTTTCAGAATCCGCGCCGTTAGAGATTCCGGGTGCTGGTGGATCCTCCAGAGTTGTTTTGCCAACATTGCTGTGTTGAAGCCATGAAGATCACGCAAGCCAAGTCCACCCTCCTCTTTTGCACACACCATTTCCACTTGTCGGATCCAATGCGCTCTTCGTTCCGTTCCTTTTTGGCCCAAGTAGAAATTAGTAATGAGGCTTTGCACTTCATTAAGGACGGCCGTAGGCACACGAAACACTGACATAGCGTATGTAAATTGGGCTTGTGCAACAGACTTGATAAGAACCTCGCGTCCTGCAACTGACAGGACCCTCTCCTTCCACGATTTCAGCTTCTTCCTAACCCTTTCGGTAATGCCCTGGAAGATCTCCTTCTTCGAATGGCCAACCACCGTAGGGAGACCCAAATATTTCTCATGTTTTTCAACAGTTATCATCCCCAACACTCCACTGACCATCAAACGTTGATGTGGTTTCACATTGCCACTGAAAGAGACTGCTGATTTCTGGAAATTAACATGCTGCCCCGATTCTCTTTCATAGGCGAGTAGAATTTCCTTTAAGTTACAAGCTTCACCCTCCGTGGCTCTGCCAAAAAATATGCTATCATCGGCGAAGAAGAGATGTGATACACAAGGTGCTCCTGCTGCAGCTTGAATACCGTGGATCTTCCCTGCCTGTACAGATTTTTTTGTGAACGCCGACAACCCCTCTGCACATAGCAGAAAGAGATACGGAGAGATCGGATCGCCCTGTCTTAATCCTCTTTCCGGAGTGAATTTCTGAGACTGATGGCCATTTACCAGCACAGAGTATGAAACTGTGCGGACACACATCATTATCCATTCGATCCATCTTCCTGCAAATCCCATTCTCTGCATAATCTTTTCCAGGAACCACCATTCCACCCGATCGTAAGCCTTTGCCATATCAATCTTTGCCGCAAAAAAACCTGATCCCTTACTTTTGTTCTTCTTCTTCATTGTATGGAAGCATTCAAAGGCACTCTATTTCTGAGATATGACACCATCTAGTAAAACCTTCAGCCGGTTTGCCAGCACTTTCGCGATCAACTTATACAGGACATTGCACAGGCTTATTGGCCGAAATTCTTGTGGTGTTGTAGGCTTCTTCGTCTTTGGGATGAGGCCTATGAGAGTATGATTGAGATTCTCCGGCATTACTCCTGTATCCAGGATCCGGATCACTGTGTCCACTACATCATCGCCAATGACGTTCCAGTACCTATGAAAAAACAAGACAGTCATTCCGTCAGCTCCTGGGGCCTTTCGTTTGCCCATCTGCTTCAGCGCCCTCACAACTTCATCACGCTCCCATGGCCGAGTTAGTATCATGTTTTGTTCGTCGGTAATGGTCCTTTCGATAGCATCCAGGACTGGGGTAGCGGCCGGGACGTCCCCTGCATGGAAAAGAGATGTGAAAAAAGACACCATGCATTGCAATGCTTGGTCCGTGCCAACGCACCAGCCTCCACTACTATCCTTCAACTTTCGGATTGTGTTTGTCCTTCTTTGGGATGTTGCTTTCCTATGGAAAAAATTGGTGTTCTTGTCTCCCGAGCGTAACCAGTCCGCCTTTGATCGCTGCTGCCAATATAATTCTTCATTTCCTTCCAGCTCTAGCAACTCCGCTTCTAGTTGCTTGATTTGTGCAACCACTTGTGGTCCTTTCCTTGCTCGATCAAGTGCACGCAGGGCCCTCCTTATGCGTTCTTTTTGTTTGCCAAACTGGGGGAACGTAGCTCTGCTCCATTTATCCAATTCATTCCTGCAAAACAGAAGCTTGGTTAGAGCATCACCTCGGCCTCCCCGCCTCCAGGCTTCCTCAATCACCGCTGGACATTCGGTGTGTTTTGTCCAATGGGCCTCGAAACGGAACATCCATCCCCATTTCGGATCAACATCTTCATCGCCATTCGTGTCACAAACTATTGGGCGGTGATCCGACTTGAATTTGTCAAGATGTCGCACCACCACCTTGGGGTAAAGGTCACCCCACTCTAGTGGTGCCAGGAACCGGTCCAGCCGTTCCTCAATAAAGCCACCAGTCGTTCTATTGTTGACCCAAGTGAATTTGTGTCCTTGGAAACCCAGATCCTAGAGCCCTGTCATTAACAACGAGTCCTTGAAGGCTGCCATGGCCGTGATGTTTGTTGGCCGACCTCCTTCCTTCTCATCGCTATCCAGAATCTCGTTAAAATCACCTCCGCAGAGCCAGGGCCCCTCCCAATGATGGGAAAGGCTTGCCATTAACTCCCACGTTCTATATTTCTCACCATCTTCTGTCCATCCGTAGATGCCCGTAAACCTCCAGACTTTGTTACTTTGATCAACCACTTTTGCATCAATGTGGTGAAGAGACCGCGTCATTACCTCAATCTCGTTCTCCTCGCGCCACCATAGGCTAACTCCACCTGCTCTCCCGCCTCTAGACCTGTCAGTAGAATAGCTCTTGCCATACTTATAGTCCAATTCAAGGCGTGTAGCTTCATTTTCCTCTTCGGTCTGCTTGGTTTCCCTAAGGAAAACCACATCTGGGGAAATTAATCGCAAGAGCGATTTTAGTGACTTCACTGCTCGCGTACTCCCCAATCCGCGACAGTTGTAGCTGAGAATCCTCATCTATGACCCAAAGGGGATGGGCTCCCCGCGCCATTTCGTTGTGGTGTATTATTCCGCCCACCGTCACCTTCTCTAAACCTTTCACGGTTACTCTCCTTACCCAACTTTCCACCTTGTTTTGGAGTGCCTTGTTTTTGCGCTGGGTTTTTTTTCAAGGTTTTGCTGGGGTGCAACTTCATTTCCTTTCCCAATTGGCACATTGTTCTTTTTGGTGATCAAACCACGGCTCTGAACCACTGTATTTTGTTCTTCTCCTTTGGATCTATCCACCTTCTGTGCTTCTTCATTATTGGCTTGCTTTGCATGGCTCGCCGACATAGTTTCATCCTTATTTGTCCTTTGCATCACCTTATTTCGCGCTACCTCTTCGTGGCTTTTTCAGGTTGTCCTATCCAGGCTTTGTTCAACCTCCGCGGGCTTGTCCGCTTGGTTCTCATCTCCCAAAACCTCAAAACCATTATGTTCTCCTCCCATATTACCCATCCGTTTTTGGAAATCTCCCTTCGTACCAAGTCCACTGCCTCGTTTTTGCGTCCGCCTGTCCCTATGTTTCACCATTATCCAATCTCCATAGACGGGTCCCCTCTCTGGTTCAACGTCTTGAGTTTCTGGTACCATCTCAACCGACTCCCCTACTACCTCAACAGGATTCTTACATTGGCAATGATTAGTCGGTTTCCCGTAAGTCCCACAGTCCGTGCATATGTTCTCAAGTCCCTCATACTTGATTAGGTACTCGACGCCTTCGATTTTATATTTCGATAGCAACGGCCTCATGAGGTTCACCTCCATACATACTCGGGCAAAGTTGCCTCTTGCACCCTCCTCTGTAGCTCTGTCAACCCGGGTTGGATTTCCGATCAGCTTACCGATTTTCATAGCAGCTTCCTTGTTAATGAACTCTATCGGTAGCTCCGGAAGCTGTAGCCATACCAGTGTTGACTTCGCTTCGGTTTTCCATGGGTTAAAACCCTTAAACCATCGCAACACTGTCAAATAAGTCTCTCCCATCATCCACGCCCCCCCGGTTGTGGCTATCTCATAATCCTCCTTTCTCCTAAATCGAACAAGGTAGCAACCATTCTTTATGTCCGAAATCTGGATATCACCCTGCTTGGCCCACAAAAAGTTAAGGCGGCGGGATAGAGCCATGTACGGAACCTTCCTTCCCAGGCCTTTCACCACCAACGCCGAACGCCATTCTCTTCTCCACCTTATCTTCTCCGCTGCCGTGAAAGGGACAGTTGGGCATAAGGGGTCGTTTTCCATCTCATCAGCCATGTCATCTTCTTCCCTGTCCGCCTGCACCACATCTTCTGTGTCGGATTCAGCTATGTACCAGGTATCTTGTTGAACCACGTCACTGAAGCGCTTCCTCGTTCCATCTTGCCACATAGGGTTCCTCGCCTTTTGGTTACCATTCGCCGCCGCTATCGGCGGACTTGCTTCCTCTTCCATCTCTTCAGCTGTGATATCTTCAACCAAACCTTCCGGCTGGTCGAGGTTTAGGGCTCGGACCTTCTTTTTTGGCTGGACCGTCTCCTTTTCACTTTTCGTATTCGGGGAGGAGGAGACCTCCAGGTGACGCCGGACACCACTCGCCGTATCTGGTGGTTTTTTCGTCAGGTCTGGCGCCCCGGTCGGCGGTGCCGCCGCCATTGAGGTTACAAACCCTAGCTCAGTACGTAGATCGCTTTTTCTCACGTTCCGCAAAACTCGGAGCTTTCCGCAAAACTCGGAGCTCAGTACGTAGATCGCTTAATCCGCCTAATACGACAAACAACTACGTCATCAACGGGCCCAAGCCCATCACCCCACACATCTTATCGGGCCCAAGCCCATGAAAGGAAGCCCAAGACTCCTATAAAAGGAGACTCATGCCTCCAAACCAAAGGATCCTCTCTTCCTTTCCCAGACTCATACCCCAAGGTCTCTCTCTGAACTCTCTCTACATACCATAAACCGCTTCATATATCGTACTAACTTGGGCGTCGGAGCGTAGATCCCGGGGACCGCCCCCGCCTCACAGGTTCCTCGCCTCCCGAAGAGGTCGAACGAGGAAATCCAGATCGGAGCAACCATTTATTATCATGTTAAGCCCTCGGTACTTTTCGGGGTGAAACACTAGGTTTTAGAGCTTGCATTTCCTAAGTTCATTCACACATGATCAGATTTAGGGGTGGAAATTGGGGTGGGTGTGGTTACCCGCCTCACATTTTGCGGGTAACCACACCCATAAATATAGAATTATGCTACCCACAACCCACCCCATAGTGGGTAGTGGTTAACCACTATCCACTGCGGGTTTGTGCGGTTTGGATGTGAATACCCACAAAATTTTTCCTTCCTTCACCCTTTGTACTCGTATATGCTAAACCTATCGGTCGAGTGACGGCAAAAAAATCATATTGAGTTAAAACTAAGTATAAAAGCCCAAGACATGGAACGAGCGAGGATTCGATATTCGGAACCTCCTAAGTAGTCAACCTCCCTCTCCTCGGTTCACTTCACTCTCTTACATGTCACTTCACTTTCTTTAGAAAATGCAGATTGATAACAAGTATGGGTTGGAGGGAATGTAATCTAAATATACATAGCATCTTTATCAGCAGCATGACTCCTTTGCTTTTTCCCCCAATTTTTTTGGGGATAACTGGAATTCTCTCCCGGGTTGTGGAATTAGCGTCTTCTTACACAAAAACAAAAACCTACATAAAAGAAATTTAATAAAGTATTAAATAAACTATAAACCACATTTATTGGCTTTGTTTTGTTATAAAATAAGCATATACCACACAGACAATTCTTATTTAATTAAAGTATATCATACGAACACGGTGTATTGACTTGGTTTTGGTTTATAAAATAAGTATATATTTGATTTTGGAGCCTACTTTAATTTGTAGCATTCTACTTTTCACATACTTTAATATTACAAAGTATTATAAATAAATAAATATACTTAGTGTGGTTATTGTGGGTTTTGTGGGTTAACCGTTGTGGATAGTGGTTAACCACTAACCACAAAAATCAATATTTTGCTACCCACATCCAACCACTACCCACAAAATTGTGGATATGGTTACCCACAATGTATGCGGTTTGGTGCGATTTGCGGATTATCCGCAATCCGCAAACCAAACTTCCACCCCTAATAAGATTTATTGAATTTGAGACCTCCTGGTGACGAGCAATCTAATCTATTGTACTTTATGAATGGGGGGATAAACGATGTAATGCAGAATAACCATACTTGGATTTTGGAACATATGAGGGTTCCGGGATTTGTTTTATTTATTAAATTTCTCAAGTCAAATTCATATCGTGACAGAAAATCTATTACCTAAGCAACTAGGTAGTACATCAAAGTTGTAGACACTCCTGCAAACACTTGAAAATCACACACCTTTCATTTCAACAAAACGTTCTTGGGTGCTAAGTTCATGAGTTCTTCCACTTTCTGCTAGTTTCATCTCCATTCTGAGAAACGAAACAACATGCAGAGTTTCCAACCAAAAGGAACAAGTTTCAACAATTCTTCGCCTCATTGTCATCTTCGAATCAGACAAATTCAGGGGTGTTCTTATAGTTCACATCATCAAGCAGTTGTATCTAGAATTCACAAAAACAACCAAATGTTAAACCAATAACCATAGTGAAACTCCTTACATAGAAGTTAGAATTTCTCTTGTGTTAGTACGATTTAGGAAACTAGTCCAAGTACCAAATGAGGCTGAAAAAGAAAAGCGAAAAAGAACATCAGAACAATTCAAAACCGGTTCCCGATTGTTTGCTACTACAACATGAACTCACCTTTAACTTCTAACTTCCTTCCTTGCACAATTTCGAGACAAAAACCCACCTCAGGCACAGAGCAGTAGCCAATTGTAACAGATCTTCCCATAACATTTCAGACGATAAGAGTTCTATGTTCTTAATTTCATCCAATCTCAACGAATTCTCTCCTCCAGTAGATGAGGAATTTCACCCACCCACCCACAGTGTTCAAAGCTCTTCATTTCAAACAACAGAATTCTAGGCTCTTCATCTCATCCAAATTAAAGCGAAAATTCTATAGTACCACAAAACACCAAATTCTATATGTACGGGGAAGCCGTCGTTGCCAGCTCGCCAACGGGGAATAGTCACGGCACGTAACCAGCAAGGAGGGGGGGAGGAGGAGGTGGAAGGGAAGAAGGAGACGTGTGAGGGCGGCGAGAGAAACGAGAGGAAGTTCGAATAAGCGAGCAAAGCATTGATGAATTGGAATTGACGGAATTTGGAGTGGATGCGTAGGTTGACGAGAGTTTCAATTGAACCGTGTTAGGTCCACAGAGTGAATAGGCTCATATGACAACAAGAACACCGATCTCTAAATGAACCCAAAAAAGAAGAGCGACAGAAATTAAGTAGAACAACCGCATATCAGCGGAAAAGTAAAGGGACACATGGAATTTTTAATGTGGTTCCCCAATCTACAGGTACATCCACGTCCCATGAGAAAAGTTGAGAAAAGTAGTAAACAAAAACAGGAATTTTACATGGTTCGGTGTCTCGATGTGAGAGACTTACATCCACAGAAGAGGGACTACTTTTTTTATTAGAGGTTGTGGCCACTGCCCGTACAATCTATGTATATATATCCTTAGCATCTATCAACTTTAGGGCTTTACAGGGGAAGAAGGAAAACAACTCTAGCTCGTACTAGAAGAGCTCGGAGTGGGCAGCACGTCTTTGGCTGGATCATCACTTGTGGGACAGCTAACATACTAGGCTGAAGGCTGAACTCGGCCCAATAAGCCCTCGGCCCCGCAAGCTGAACTGTGGAGATCTTGAACATTCAGCTTGGACAACAGGAGACGAAAATGATCGGCTACTAACCCCTTGGTGAAGATGTAAGCAACCTAACGCTGGGAGCTGATCTTGCAAGGTGCAATATCATGGGAGACAATCCGTTCACGAACAAAGTAACAATCCATCTCAACATGCTTAGTGCGCTCGATGAATACATGGTTGGCGGCGATGTGGAGGGCAGCCTGATTATCGCAGAAAAGAAGAGTCAGGCGTGACTAGGGAACACGGATTTTGCTAAGAAGCCAACGAAGCCAGATAAGCTCATTGATGGTGCTAGCCATAGCTTGATATTTAGCTTCAGCGGAAGAGCGCGCGACAACATTCTGCTTCTTGCAAATAAAGAAATCACTAGTAGACCGGCGGGTACTTTAACAACCATCCCAGACGCTTGCTTGAGGTAGCGCAAGATGCGGTGAGCGACATCCATGTGAGCCTGTGTGGGAGTATGCACGAACTGACCGAGTATGTTGACACCATATCTGATGTCATAATGAGTGACTGTCAAGTAAAAGAGATGACCAACTAGACGTAGATATGCAGAGCCATAAGCAAGAGGTGCAGCGGCAACACGAGTAAGATGATGGTTTTGCTCGACGGGAAATGCACTAGGGCGAGCTCCTAGAATACCTGTCTCCTCAAGAATATCCAAAGTATACTTACGCTGACTGAGAAAAATTCAACGGGGAGAACGAGCAACTTCAATGCCCAAGAAGTAACGGAGAGGACCCAAGTCTTTGATACTGAAACGTTGATCAAGAATTTCTTAACCTGAGTGATAAAAGAAAATTCATTACCTGCAAGAATGACGCCGTCGACGTAAATGAGGCTATAACGAAAATGTCATCGTGGCGATAAAGAAAGAGGGAGTGATCTGCAGGTGAAGGACAAAAACCTAGTTCAAAAAGAGCAGCTATAAACTTGTGATACCAGTTCCGAGAAGCTTGTTTAAGACCATAGATGGACTTGTGCAAGCGTAAAACTTTGGTGTCCCCCTTTTTAGCGAAGCTAAGAGGAATCTTTATATAAACCTCTTCATCTTGATTGCCATGCAGGAAATGCATTGTTGACGTCGAGCTGGTGAATAAACCACCTGCGATTGATGGTGACATCAATCAAACAACAAATAGTGACCAGCTTTGCGACATGCACAAAGGTATCGTGATAATCCACCCCTTCAATCTGAGTGTAACCTTTCGCGACAATATGAGTTTTATAACGCTCAATAGTGCTATCCGGGAAGTACTTAATCTTGAAACCCACTTAGCCTCTATGATATGACGACCTGGAGGAGGCTGAACGAGACTCCACGTGACCGTTTGAACTCGGGCAACTATCTCACTGATCATAGCTTCCCACCAACGAGCGTGGCAAACGACTTCATAAAAGTTCCGTAGAACATCATGGCTGGTGACAAAGGCAAAAAATTC